GAGGGAGAGAGAGCAAGCTAAGAAGCAGGTGTGATGAAAGTCCAAGAAACTCGCCAAAGGGAGCACACCTCAAAATAAATTGAAGAAAAAGAAGTTGAAATTTGTAATGGAGAGGGAGCCGATAGATGAGCCAGGACAGAAGGAGGAGTGAGAGAACAACCGTTTCGGCAGAAAGTTAGTCAAAGGATTGACTTCACTTGCCTCCTTGACGAGTTGTAGATTGTTTCTGAGTCGTAAGACGCACTGACGATGCCAGCTAGGATGGAGACGAAATGTCTAGGGATGTACCAAGTTCATGTTCTAACAATGAGAATTATGATTACGACGCATGCAACCAAATTGCGAAAGCGGGGTCAGGCCACTTCTATCTACTCTCGCCCATAATAAAAATATTTATCTTATTTAATAGGGGCTAGCGTTTAGATACCTGGACTTTGTGATACCTAAGCAAAATACATAATAAATTAATAATAAAAAATAAGTATTCTTACTTGATAGAGATGAACACACCAAATAACTGGTCTAAGCTGATGACTCTAAGCATCCCTTTTAAAATAACTAGTCAATTTTTCGATCGAGAATGTCGCTAAGAATGTATCTTTTTGCTAGAATTATATTCTAGTAAGTAAATATCACTATGAGGTGATCTAAAAGTTGTAATATAGACTTTTATACGAAAAGAAACTCTCCCCAACCAAGATATCTTAAAATATCCATCGAAACTCGTTTACTTTTTGTAATAGAAAAATATTTTGACCCATAAGAGTATTCCATAAATTACCGTTAATTTGCAAATTGCAATTTGATCAAAAACAGAAACGTTTAGATAGTTTGTCGAAAGACGGATCATTATTAGACGTAAAGCAGGTATGATTTGTAAGGCATGATTGTTTATAGGAGCTTTTTCCTAACTCTAAAGAATGAGCCCCTCGCTAAAATTCTCATGTGGCCCCCGTATCAAGACGAAAACCCATTTACATAGGCTTTTTTATTTATTTAATTTCATGAACAGTATATTGAAGTTACCCCAGGAACAAAGCTATGATTTGTGTTTTAACTGTAAGAACGACCTAGTCTAAGTCTCCCTCAAACTAAAAAAAACATACAAAATGTCATGATATAACAATGTCAAATTTCGCTACCATCCTAAATAAGGGGAATTTTTACTCACCAATTAATAGACCAGAGTTATTGTTTCTCGCGCAGTCTTCAATCCCATCATTTCTGTCGACATCGGTATCATGATAATCACCTCTGCCATCCCCGTTGCTCACCAGCAACGAAGTCCTTGAGCCGATTAGACTTTGCGAGACTTCAACACTTGTTGACCTGGACTCTACGCACTCTCTGTTGGATGGAACTTCGGCCTTGGTAACGGAGTGGAGGCTGTCTATTTTTTCTAGTGCTGGCTGATCAAGTGAATAATGTAATTGCCAAACACTGCAGGCCTTTTGGCGAACTACTACAGCCCGATGAGCACTAGCCAAGTAGGTCAGCCAATCGTCAGTTTCGGGATTCAGCAAATGGCTTCCAGTGGGCAAGTATTCACGTAAAAATGTGATAAACCGATCATGGCTGTTTTCGACTTTGATATGGCTGATCATCTCGGATGAAGTACATTTGGCGATTGGATCCACAGAATCAATTGTAGTAGATAGCGGAACCTTACTGCCGGAAATGGATTTCGATTGAATTAAATCGGGAGTCTTACTCGTAATATCTTGAACTCCATATTGAATCATGTCTGGGAAGGTTTTGGCAGATTTATGAGGAGAATGAGGAACAAAAGTGCCGTGGTTGATACCAGAGTAATGGTCATACGATAAAGGATCTGAAAAGAAAAAGGCATAATTAATTTGTCCAATTAGGTATAATAGGATACAGCAAAACAATAGGTTAATTCCTCACATCTACAAGTAACAAAAAAGGGTACAGACTTTAATTGGATGGACAACAAGTTTATATGATTTTATATGTTCGCGGTCTCCTTTCGTTATATAAAAGTTATTTGACCTTGATTTCGCAACTTGTTCAAATTGGCAGATAAACCTATAGGAACGCACCTCATCCGGAATTCATAGAATGCATGATTATTTTCAGAGTCGGACCTTAGACTTGGTACAATCAAAGACGTTTCGCCGACATCGTCAGTGAGCCCTGCCAGTCTTAGCATCATACTACAACTCGCTAGAACAACAAATGAAGCCGACCCTTTGACCAGTTGTCTGCTAAACAGTTGTGGTATCTCTCCCTCTGTCCTGGGCTATTCACCTATCTTATTTCCTCGTGTCACACTTACAATATCGCAATTTCTCACTTGTTTATCTTAACGTATTTGAAACCTTATCATACACCCCGCTGGTGTCCACATCCCTCCCACTGTGCCAGGAGTCTTGATCTAAGGCAGCGGTTTAATTCACAATCCTCTTTCTCCAGGTCCTATCAGAGTCCCTCTCTTCCTCTGTAAGATCCTTCCATTATCTACATGTTTTTGTGATTTCACGCCTTCGCTGCCACCGTATGTTGTACACTCTGCCTAAAGCCTGTGAGAGCACATAAACACAAGACCCTAAAGTGTGGATTTTCAATTGACATGGCAATCTTATTTGACGCTGCAGATTCCCTTATCGATGTGCGGCATATGCACTGAATAAATCTGGTGGGCAAGCCTTCACTTCATAGACCACGTCTATGGGCAAACATATCTACGAATAGCTAACTAGAAATAGCTACTACCGTTTCCCTCGCTCTTCTATGACTTTCTATTGCGTTTCAACCCCCAAATGTGATGGCCCTACTTGATTTGAATAGACTCACTGTAGACGTCTACTCTTGATTTCCGATTGTTCCTCTTTTGTCTCAGTGTAATGTCTTTTCTTAAAATAAAAAATATTACAGAAATATATGAAGATCAAGATGGTGTGGTCTTTTGTGTGAGCGCAGTCTCTTAGCGTTCTATAAAAGTAGTTTGAACTTGTTTTCATAACTTGGTAATATTGGCAGGAAGACTCAGAGGAACGCACCTATGTCAGAGTCCATTGTATGCACGATGATTTCCAGAGTCGGACAGTTGTCATGCTATATTGCCAGACACTTCGTCGGCATCGTCAGTGAGTGCTGTCAGTCCTAGCATTACGAAGGATCGGCTGCACTTGTATCAATGACGAGTTCTCACGTGGTGCTAAGACTCACTGATGGTGTTGACTACGATGCCGGAGAAACGTGTGGGAATGTACCACGTTGACGGTCCGACTTTGAAAATGATCATGCATACAATGGACTCTGGACTAGATGCGTACTTTTAGGTCTTTCTACCAATATGATACTGCTGCTCCATGATCTGCTTAGGCAGTATGCAGTATACAGACAGACTTTCGGTCGATTTCGTGTACCGTTCGTGTGATATGTTCTGCAGAGTCCTTGGTGTTCCTTAATCCGTAGGCTGATTTTTCTTCCTGTTTCACCAATATATTTTTGCTTAAAGTTGCTGCATTTGATGCTATAGAAAACTGAGCAATTAAATTTGTTAGCCTTCTTGTGTTACGTCCGCAGGCTTGCGAAGAGTGTTATCTTTTCTTTTGTTATTACCTTGATATAGCATTGTCTTAGCGACGGTAGCTTATTCTGGCTAGGTTTACAGGAGGGCAAGCACATCCACTTTTTGTCGTCTTCCCGAATTTTGATCTTATTTACATAAAATCATAGTTGAAATCTGCTCTGTATTACTCCTATATTTCTTTCTATGTATTCTCGGGAGCACCCGTTGATAAGGCAAATCCGAGTCAGTTCCTCCAACCCCTCGCCCAAGAATTCAGCGTTCCTATGTCTTAAGCTTCTGTCTATTATAATTCTCATTATTCCGGTCTTCAGTCTGTAGTTGTGAAGAGACTGAAAATTGAGGATTATTCCCGCATGTGATTTCTTTCTGAACAGTCTCCTCTTGGATATTCCGTTAGAGTGAATAACCGCAACATCCAGGAAGGGTAGTTGCTTACTCTTCTTCTCTTCCACCTCAATTATGAATTTAATTCTTTCATTAAATATGTTTATAAAATTAAGGAACTCATTTAAATTTTTCTTACCATGCGATAAAAATGCAAAATAGTCGTTTAGGTATCGCATAAGAACTCTTGGTTGCAACGGTGACTTTTCGAATTCCTTCTCCAATTTGTCCATGTATACATTTAAGAAATAGATGAGAGAAGAGGTCCCATCGGTAGTCCAAATATTTTCTCATAGATATCACTGTTGAATGTAAAATATGTGGTACTTACTGTTAGGTTGATTATTTGTGGTAACCACATCATCTGTATCCACTTTGCTTCCAGGATATCCTTGCCTTGTTCCAAGATCTCCAGCCGGACGATGACCGACTTCTCGCCTGAAATGTTTGTGTACAGGGATTGTACGCCAAAGCTCACCGACATTTCCGTCCCTGTCAGTCCGATATTTTGGATACTTTGAGAAATTTTTAATAAATTCTTCACGGTTCACAAGATTCTTTTGTTTACTTTATTAAGCTTCAATAATATGCATCTTTATATCGACTCCTCCGTTGTGCATTTAATTTAAAATTTCCTTCAGTATTCCGTTGATCTTCATTCCTGCATCCTTTCTTAGTATATGATAATTGTTCCGGACGCCTAGGATACTTTTCACTTTCTCCGTGTACTGTTGCCTGTACATTATCAATGTCGCACCTCCCTTATCCGCCAGAATAGCTATTTGATCATTCATTGTAATTTGCTACGTAGCTGCATCAGTCCACTCCTTTTCATTGGCGAGACGGAATTCTCGAGAGTAATTCCATTTCTTTTTCCTGTTTGGTCTCTTCTGGGTATGTCTCCGAGAG